AGTGGATGCTGTCATTTATAGTTTTGATGTACTAACTCTAAATTTTTAGTTAATTCGGTTCATATCGTAAACATTTATATACCACCGCTTCTGCGGATTTAAATCTCGTTCAATCTTTTCGGGGCGGGACTAAACCGTTCTTCAATTCCGTTATAATTTATGAGCATAATAGCAATCGCATAAAGATACATATTACAACTATATTATTATCTCCAACAAGACTGAAAATACAAAATAAATTAATAATTATTGCAGTCTAAATAATATTTATACATTGTAAATCGGATAATAATTTTTGTCTATAAGATTTGCAAATCGAAATGGATGAGCTATTTATCGATAAAACGTTTTCGTAGATGTTGATTTCAAACATAAAAAATTTACATTTATAACGACTACACAATTTTGTTATTATTGTAACTTCATAACAATATTTTATTAAATTATATATGAATCAAAATATTTATATTCATATATAATTTAAATAATAACATTAATAATAATAATAATAATAATAATAATAATAATCAAAATATTAAGATGATTTGTAAGACTATGGGTTAACTATATTAAATTTAAGTGTTTCGTTACATAGGTTCCAATGGTTTTACATATTTTGATGTTTTATTATAATATTAACAGTCTAAGAGTTTTCAACGTTTTTACACAACCAAATTAAAAACTTATGGCTGCAGACAATCGGTGAGTGGTATTCAATTTTTTCGTAATTATATTGTTGACTAAACCAGTGTGTTAAGAAATAATAAGTTCCACAGGAAATATTTATTCCAAGAAAATATTTTTTCTAGAAATCAAGACTTGAATAATAATATTATTTCAGTCTTTTTATTTTTTATTACGAAATCTGTGTGTTTGTAATTACAATTTATATTTATTTAGAATTTTATGTTTTTTTCCTTGTACTAGTTATAGGTATTAAATAATTTCACTTGACTGTTACAATAACTTATAAAAATTGAATCTACGTATTATGAAATAGTATGTAGTAAATTGGCAGTTTACCTTTTCTCTTAATTTATAAGAATAAAACGAGGAAACAAAATCTAGCTGGACTGAGTGGAACATTTCGAATACACCATGTTATGGTCTCTAGGATAATGATCTATTTTCGTAATGATTTTCGTTCAATAATTTTACATCGATCACATAATTTTTCGAAACTGTTTGTAGAAGTTTCGTCTAAATTACTTGATGAGTCAATGAACTTCCGTGTACTAGGTAGGAACTTCAAAGTCATCATTAAAGACATAATAACAGTATTTGAAATTTCATAACATATGGCATGATTTAAATTAATCTTGATAAAATAACACAAATTGCATTTTGCATATTTTTCATTCTTTAACTTTTATCAATGTTTTCGCATATGTAATGCATATTTAAAATTAATAAATCATAATTTTATTAATACTGCATAGTTTTGTTCTGATTGTCCGTACGATCAGATATAAATATAAATTTGATGTCGAACAGAATATTTGTATTTCCACTCTATTAAGTGTGGGTTAATTTTTTGTAGACTGGCTCAAATTGATAATTTATGTTATAATGATAATCATTTAAAATATTGTTAGTGAAGACGATATATAATAACGAATAATAACGAGAGCTATGAAAGTAGTATGTATTTGTATGTTTTGGCTCCATTTTTCACAGGGTGATTCAAAATATTTGACCGACAGTAACTAAAAAAAAAAATTTACCCTGGGTCTGTCGATCAAATATTTTGAATCTTCCTGTAAAAAATGGAGCCAGAACATACAAATACATACTACTTATGGATTATTAAATTTTCATATACTTTTTTTTCCATATTGCTGGTTAGACACTACGCGTTTTATACGTTAGCGTACGCGTTTAAAAAACACAGCGTTTAAACGCCGAAAATTAAAACTGAAAGGTTTCCATACAAGCGTACACGTTCAGTAATATTTTTAAAATGTGTACGCTATCGTCTAAAATGTGTATTGTGTAACCAACTTAAATATATCTATTTTAAGTGCATAATCAAAAGTAAATGCATATTAAATTATATATTAAATAATATTTTGAAAGTTTTTCGTGCATGCAAATCCATACATTGGTCACAATATTATCATCTTGTCAAACTCAAAGATTCACTATAATAACTCTTGATCCGCTTCATTATAATTATGTGTGATTAATTAATTTTCCTCGTGTAATATAATTGTTTATACTCATATAGTTATTTAGTTGTACTGTGAGTGTTGGATGTATGTAAACATATTCTTTGACTTTTGTTGCTCGTTCATTAATTGAAAGTTTTACTACCATTGAATATTTTGACCGCTAATAATGTGCATTATATTGGCAGTAAGTTTCAGTAATATAATTAGATTAGTAAATGTACACAGACTTTGTAATTTGTATACTATATTGTATATACAAAAATAAATATTAGTGTTTTTACTTCAGAAATGTATTGTTAATATAATCGTTATATTTAATCAAAGTTGTAAACAATAGGTTATTTTCCACTTATTATTCGTAAAGCTATTAACCGTACAATAAACATTGAAGTAAGTACTAAAAATAATCAATCGACCGATATTCTCTAATTTGTTTTATTGTGAATTTATAATTTATACTGAGTATATTTAATTTAGAATAAGCTTATTTAGAAAATAAATATTGTCACTAAAATGGTAGGTAATATTATTATCAAATGTTTTACTATTAATTTTTTTTTAAATTATTTTAAATTATAAAAAAAAATAAATGAACGTGTCAACGCATTAAACTATTTTCTGTTTTCTTTTGTTTGTTAAAATGAACGAATAAAAATGTGTTTAACCTTTTTATATCATATCGCAATATCAGTGTATGATTTATCATAATTATATTAGTTTAATTTAAAAAATATTTTGGTTTTCGTAGAAAATCATATTAAAACAGATTTTCATTAATTAGAAAAACAGTAAACATAATCGTTCAAATTGTTGTAAATGTCTGGGGTAAAAAATATTTTACAAACATAATTACTAAATAATAGGCAATAAGGTAAGACGAAACATGTATGGAGTATTTATTTTGTTGACTAATTTTGGACTAAATTAATAGAACATGCATAGCTATATGCATAAAATACGTAAGTAAAAATTGTCGAGGTATACGATACGATTGATTGAAAAAAAAAACAAAATTTAGCGTGCATGGTATGTACAAAAATTTGAAATTCCTTTAGGCCGACTTTGATCTTAGTGATCATTTTATTCACCAAATACTAATTACGTACAATATTTGACGTGGGCAATATACTAGTACTGATATAGTTCAAATGTATATTTTTGTACTGCGGATTTTCCATCGTCACGAACATCCTGTAATAAAAGTGGGATGCACTCGGTGCACGCACGTCTATGCAATAATATTATGGAGCACACATCGGGACGCGATTCATCGCGCGACTGGTTAAGTTAGGTTAGCCGAACCGTAATAACAAAGCGAACGGAGGACGGGGTGAGGTGACCACTGTCCACCTCATTTGCGCACGACAGTCAGCACGCGAGACAATGATGTTGCTGTGGTGTGCGGCAAAGCAAACGCGACATTTCGTTTGACAACGGATTCTGTTCGCGAAAACACAGATCGCAGACAACGCGGACTGTTGAGCACGCGCGTGCATAAACATTACGTGTACAATGGAACGATAAACAACGCGAGTTTTTTAGCGACCCGACGCGGCTGTACGTACGTGTACTTACCTGAATCACAATGCAAGTGCATTGGCCGCACGTTGCATCCGTAAACACGTAGCGACGAATGTGCGGAACGCGCGAACAGCTGTGTTCGATGACGGGGACCTGTGCAACGGACCGCCGCCGCGGTCTTTCGTCCGTTTTCGAACGGAAAATGAGAACAATTGCGCGCACGTATATCATAGCCGTGTTTCACGCACAGGCCGGACTGAAGCCCAAATCGGGGGTTGCTAAAATCGTTGAAAACGAAACCGATGATATTTCACCGTAATCATCCTAGATTGACCTGAAACGAAATAGCATCAGGGCGCTAAAGATCTTCTTGCGCCCCCCCTCCCAACCCACTAGTTGCGCGTTATGACCGCGGTATATGTACGCGCGGTTAAACGCTCGACCACACGGATTTCCCTGAAATTCGTCTGTAAAAGACGTCGGTGTTCGAAGATTCTCCTCGGAAGTGAACGCGGCACGATGACACAACATGCATTGGTTATCATTCAAATTTGTTTCTTGCGCGCACCGAAGAATACCTCGAAGAATATTATGTTTCGCGAGAGATAAGTATACTTTATACGTTTTTGTAAACACTTTGCACGATAATATGATAAAATGTATATTTATGTAATTTTGAACGTATTCTATACAATTAAACATCAATACATGTACAAAGAGTCTAACTTTTTTTTTAACTATTTAAGTTGTTACACGTCGCTTCTTCCGCTTTTTTTTTATACATCGTTTTTATCACGAGTATTCGTTTTGGACACAATGGATATGAATAATTAGCTTATAATTATTCTTTTTATCTCGATATTAATTAGAACTCTGTTAAACTCATTTCTTTGTTTCGTTACTCATACGTGAACGACGTGATGACGCATTATTGTCCAACACCGTGGCCTCAACAGAGTCAAAAAAAAAAATAAAAAAAAAAAAACCGAAACAGGTAAAATAAGTGTTGGTAAGAGGAACACGTTAACACAGTTACGGTACGTACCCGGTCATGGAAAATATGTGTACCAACGGGCTTCTGGAGGCACCGTGTCACCATTGGTTATGGTCGTCCGTCTTTGTCTCCCAGTCGCCGACGCCGTGCCACTACCACCTATACCCAGTCACAACGCACATGCACCGCTCTTGTTCGTTGCCGCGTGCGTTCGTAGTTTCGTACAGTGCCAGTCGATCGTTCGGTCGCGCTCGCGTTCATACCGTCCCGTACCGTGCGCCGTGCGTATTGTTCCAATACGTTATTGTTTTTCGCCCAACCGTTTCATCAGTTTTTTCCGTCTGATTTGTGATTGTGCTTCTAGGACCCGTATCCTGCTTACTGTCGCCATTACACAAGGTAGTTAATTCGTTATTCGATGTTCATTGTAGTTTAAGTATTTGATATACTGGTGAGAATACCAAACATTCTTTTACGTAGTACTTAGGTTCTTTAAATGACTAAAGTTTCCGTGTTTCTGTTCGTCTTAAAATTAACACTTTTTTTTTCCGTAGTTGAGCGAAAAGTTTACTCGTTCTACCTAAGGAATTTGTTCGTTTTTCGACTTTTATTATTAAAATAACCGATTGTTTTCTTTTGCATCTCAAATTACTTATAAATAACAGTGTATATAGTTAAAACGAGTAACGAAATTTATTTGTATACTATTGTTTATGAAATATGAAATACAAACTGTTTAAAAATTAAAAAATATTTAGTCTCACTGATTCAGAAAATAACATTGTTCTATATCTATTGTTTTCATTTTATAGGATAAAAAGAATTTCATAAATTTCAAATGAGAGTTTAACTAAGAGTTTTGACAAATATGTAAACATATTTATGACTCTACTATTATAATTGCATGTATTTTTACTGACCAACTGATCATTGCGATTAACGGAATTTTTTTTTTTACTTCTAACCTCTCTTGGGTTAATACCAATGTAATAGGTATGTATGTTTTACTTGATATGATAGTTTTTTTGCTCTTAAAAAGTTGAATTATTTCTTGTACGTTGTGATCATCATGTTTGTATATAATAGTAGATAAAAATTATTACTAGTTCAATGTCCAGAAACATTTTTTTCGACTTATTTCCATATGCTATTTTTAATCGAGATTTGGTCTGAATTCAGAAGTGTATTTATGGGGGGAGCTGAGTGGGCTGCAGCCCCTTTCCCAAAATTTTAAGAAAATCTAAAAATTATTTCCATGGTCTATGAAAGTTGTTGCAACAGTCTTAAATTACATAGTATTTAATTTAAATTCGTATATTTAATTTTTTAGCTTATCTTAGCGTAATATTGTTCATGAGCAACACTTTACCATAGGAGAACCAATATTAGGAATCTATTATAAATACTAATTTTAAATAGTCGATTACGATCGCCAAAAAGCACAGTCACGAGTTTTTCTGAAAATAATATTATCAATAAATAATATTTCGTGTACACTGTACAGTCTATCACAATAATTACGTTTGTGTTTATTTACTGTCTATAACGAACTGAGTTCACTTGCAAGAAAGTATTCTTAATTTATTTTTCTAATTATTTTTTATATTACAATATATTTCATATATTTATTATTCCTACATATAATAAATACATTTTAAAAATTATTACATATGATTTTAAATTTTTAAATAATAATCGACAAATTTATCATTCGAATTACGAAAGTAAGTCAATGAAATTTGATTTACTATTATTATATTATTAAATGAATACATTTAATATTTTATTTTAAAGTTATTAAATTTAGATAATTAGTACCAATGTTTATTAATTTTCTTACAAATTAGAATAAAATGCAACTCAATGAAACTTCCAATCCTGATGATCCGACTCCTATAGTTGAAAATGACTCCTCTCCCCCGACTAAAAATTTAAAACTGGTATGTAATTTAATATTTATACATTCTTATTTACATTTAGGCATAACCTAAGCCAATTAGCTGTTTTAGTTTTAGTCACTCTTAATTTATTGTTCTTGCATTTTACGTCACAATAATGGTGTTTTACTTATACTTTATGCTATTATCTAACTTTTATTTATTTTTTTATTTGAATGTATAAATGCTGAAAAATTTTAATAAAATGGTAATTCTTTTCTTTTGCTTAACATTTGCTTTAACTCAATAGTTGGTTATGTATGATAATATTGAAAAAAATCCAAATTCTTCCAATTATTTAGACATGTTATATGTATATTTATATACATTAAATATCATTTTTTTTTATTTTACTGTTTGAGGATGTTTATAAATTTTTATTCAGCCCCTTTTGAAATAAAATCCTGGATACGCGCTTATCTGAGCCTTGTTTTTAGCCGCAAAGACCATTAAAATTTTTTCTTCTTATTCTGTATACTGGTTGTAAAATAATCGTAATTTTGATATTAACTGCGTCGCGGATAAGCTTAGAATTGGTCAAATGGATTGAAGCGGACTTGCACTCGGATAGGTCACACTAACTGATTTGTCATACATTGGATAATGTCCAAATATTTCGTTACCGCACAACACGTACGATTTGACATGATATATTTTTTGATATTCAAAATTATTTACAAAATTTATTGATTCGCATGAAATGTATTATTACTTCATTTTGTCTGTTAATTACATATTATCATACTGTAGTCTTTTAAGAAACGCTGATATTAAAGGATGACAAAATCAATCGTATGTTTTTTCAATGTCCATTTGTAGTTTTCCACTGGAAAAAGATTTTACAATACTTATTTCCATTAAAAAAATTTTTTATTCATTTTTTTTCACGTCAATATTCCAGAAAGTAAATACAAACGATTTGTGCGATATCCATCACAATCAAATTATATGTTTCATGATTTTTTCTCGCTTATTTAAAATAAGATAACTGTTATCTCTTCTTGCCTAATTTATTATATTAAGCACAACACTTCCTTCGAAAATTAATTTTTTTTTCAACACAAATAATTGATAACATTTTATTTAATATTTTATTTTTTTTTAGCATTAAGTTTGTTTAGAAATCGTAATTCAAATGTTATTTACCATTAACTAGCGTTAATTTTATAACTTATAAAGATATACGTATATATTATTATCTCTTTTGAATAAACCTCATTAAGTTACATTTAAATAGTCATTGAATAATTTTTTTTTCACTCTTAACTATACATATTGATAAGTATACTCGTATTATACTGAGTTAAATAATAATTAGAATCGTTTGTTGTTAAGGTATAACATTTATAACTTTCAAAACGACTGTGCGCTGTATTGTAAATAATTTATTCAAAAATGTGTAATAAACTGTATGTAAAATTAACTATTATCCCCGAAATTTTGTGCGTTTTAATAATTAATGATTTTTATATACTTAAGTCAATATAAAAACCTAAAACGTCTTTTTTAGAAAATCTCAATAAAAAGTAAAAATGTAATAACATTATATAACGTCATTGTGCTTTTTTAAATTATTCATAGTTCAAATGCAATATTTTTGCGTATCTATAATTATAATCATTAGCCGATATTATTTATGTTATTAATATTAATTTCGGAAAATTATAAGCATATTTATATTTTAATATTATAAAGGTTCAAACAATTTATTTCATGGTGAATAAATAATAATTATAGATAACTATATTATAGATAATTATAGATATTATGTAGAATATCGATTTGACTAAGAATTATAAACTATGATGAAATTAAATTTACCATAACAATTAATAATAATTTCAAAAGAAAAGAAGTATAAAAAATCTTCTAATGATAAATATGCAAATGATACCCAGTAAACATCTCGAGTATGTTATTTATAAATTTCTTACTGCATATCATGTCTAAGAGTCTACATAAAATATTTGTTAAACGTTTTTATTTTTCTATATAAATTATTTCGTAAGCAAAACAAAAACTTAGGTACTCTAGATAATAAGTTATTGCGTTGTCGTTAATATTATATTATTGTACAACATATGACTTTCAATTTCAAGGACACTTATTATTATTATTATTTATTTATGGATATTTACGGATATTATTATTTATTATTATTTACGGATATTACATTCTAAATTGCCGATCTAGAAATGAAGAGATTTAATTTTGCGGTAACCTTTATATTGATAATCTCAATTTTGATGCTGACATGTCCATATTTTTAATTTTTTTCATTAATTTTTGTCTCACATTTTTAAATTTTTTTTTTTTGTCTTGAGTGTATGCATTATTTTATTCAAAATATTATTGAAATTGAAACCAAACTTTATTTGAATTTGAATAAAAGTATGTGATTTTAAACATATATTTTTTTTTAATGATTTTTATCGTATTATAAGTAGTTATGAGTAATTGTATATTTTAAAAATCTACAGCTAAGATAAGGAACAAAAGATTCTCTATGTTTTTATTTATTTTTTATTTTTTAGACTGATAAATATTAGATTCGACAATCTTACGTGTTACTCATTATTTCTATTATGGTACTTATCTTTGTCTAAAAGAAATTGAAATATTTTCATCTTGGCCTACACCGAATGTATGCGTTCGCACCACTTAACAAAGTAAAAATAATATAAACGAATGAAACCACAAACTTGTTTAAACCGATTAATCGTTTAATTGCTTGCATAGTAAAAACGAATGGGCGTATGTAATTTGCGCCACATTTAAAAAATTAATTTTGGTAATTTGTGCCATTTTTTAAAGTTGTAATTTGCGCTCCACAAAACTAAATAAAAGGGCATTAAGTAATCTGCGCCATCGTGTACCTACAAAAAATATAATTTGCGCCATTTGTCACCTTATTAAAATTATAATTTGCGTTGCTTTAAAATTACTAAATAATTTTTTTAAGGAGATTAAAATATTGTATTCTTAACCATTCCATTGGTCAATCAAGTTCACTTTAATAGAAAATTGCTTATTGCAATTCTTCCATTGCTTTTGGTAATGGTGGCACCATTTTTCTACCAGCGTTATACATATTTCGTCGAACTAATGATATATCATCGGTAGTAATGGTTGGTGAATTAGATAAATTTTCAGAAATTTCTGTTCATAATATCTTACTTAATATAGTATACAGATTTTTCATAGCTTTTCTCTTACATCCATTTGAATATATTTTTCTGTGTATACTTGGTTGATCATGCCCGTTATGTTCATTTACAATTTTAACTATTTGTACAATATTTTCTGAAGATGTGTGTGCAAGTTCTGACAGTACGAAGCCATCGAATTGAACAATTTTTAGATTCATGAAATTTTCGATACGTAACATTTTTAAATAATAATAAATCTTTGTCCCTAGTACTTTTAATAATTTCACCGATATTTGTATCCATTACTTTTATA